ACTCGGCGGCCGCCGCTGCAATGCCGATGGACTTGCACGTCCCCCAGGGATTCCCCTACTACAGGTAGGAAAGTGATTACAGTAGCCGGTTTAGGCTGAAGAGACGGTTTATTCAAGATATCCTGGCATGCCTGCCTGTTATTTATCTGTCGAGGCAATTTAAAGTCCGTTTCTTCACGATAGCGACTACGAAACGACGAGAGTACGTATTACAGTAAACAGCTTCCCCAAGTCGAGTCGAGGGGCTAATGTTAGAATCTCGCGGAAGACAATTTTGGACGTCATTCTCTGCTTTGTGACGGTTGCCTAAGAGAATCGAACAGGAGAGTAGTTGTAATTTATCTGTCGATAGTCGTAGTGAGGATTCAGATGATGGTGGTAATTGAAAATAGACTCGTTTTGAATGAGAGGGCTGAGAAAAAATAGTCGATTTATGATATAAGGGATGGGTTTCACCCTTTGAAGCCGAAGCTCAACTAAATACATTTTAAGAATTCAACTCTTACCGCAAATGAATCACAACACTTCGTCATTACAAAGCTCACGTGGTAAATGCTGGTTAAGGAAATAATTATCTGTTCCTTTCAAAATCATATGAAACCCGTAGGTTGAGTAATAGATCTATACTGTGCGGGCAAAATGCAGTTAATGTTAAAGCAGTGTCTACGTATATTTAACAGTGTGCTTCAAGGAAGGAACGGTCCTTTGCCTAATGTGAAGATATGAGGATCAGTTTGTAAACTAATAAATAAGGGCAATGTCAGAATTGAATGTCTGAGAATTGATTTCGATCGGTCGGTGACGTCGCTTCTGTAAAACCTCTTTCAAAGAGTCTGCTCTCAATTCAGAAATTCGTCTCTCTCTCTCCTGGTGATCGACGTGGTTAAGCCACGTCACATTGGAGTTGTGCAGGTGATGCATTTGAGACACTTGCGCTTAACTTCGGGTCATGGATGACTCTTTTGGTATATTTATTGTAAAACGTTTTTTAAAAGGATTATCATCAATACTTGTAGACAGCTTTATAATTTTTGTTACCAAATGTTATTCGAGCGATGAAATTAATGAGGATGGAGGGTCTGGGAATTGGAAATACTGATAACTCTGAACACAGCCTGGACCCAGCTGCCAAAACGTCGTATAGGCTTATATTGAATATACCTGAGACAGTAGACAGCGTCCATCGACAACATTTACAAACTTTTAGGCTCGTAGAAACTCGCAGTTGATAAAGTGGTTATAATTTTGTCTCTTAGATAGTCCAGGGAAAAATTGGCTTCCTGTAGGTCTGGGCGCGTACGTACAATTTTTAAAACCCTCTTATGTTTGGTCTAGTCCTGTTGTGCTGTGTCTCAGTGTTTTTTCATGACGTGTAAGTCCTTACTAATATTGTAATTATTAGAGTTCGGAGGCAGGGACCTCTCGTCACCGCGTCCGAACTGTCTCCGACCACTCCTCCGTCTAGTATCCATGTTAAGAACACGTGGGATTTTGTCGTCATTTCTGCAAGTGTCGGAGCCGACATAGCTCAGTCAGTGTAGAAACCAGTCTGTGTGCTGGGCGACAAGGTGTCTATTCCAGCCACAAATTCCAGACCAGCTCTGAGCGAACCTAGTCTGTCCAATGATTGCCCTGGTTCTTTCTCTGGGGTTAAAGCGGCCAAAACGCGAAGCTGGCTACTCACCTCAGTCTAACGGTCTATAGTACCGATATTAAGAAATTGTAGTAGGTCTCCCTCCACTCCCCCCTACGTCTTCAAGGCGTGGTCCTTAAGCACCGGAACGTCTTGGCCGTTTTTCATATTTGTTGTGTAACATGAAGACAAGTTAGGAAACATATACATGGCGTAATTATTCTGGCGCTTTCGCTTAGTTGTTTCCTCCAGATTCTGAATTCGTGAACGTATGTTTCATGGTATGCTGCGTGTTTCGCCAAAACATGATCTTCACCTAGGTGAATGCGCCGGAGACGTCAGCTTTGTGGCGTTGACGGGGAGTCTGACTGGAGTTTCCCTAAGCTCATTCAGCATTTTGCCCACAGGGTGGATTATGGGTTTCGGGTGATTCTCAGAATAAAAAGCCATCATTAATCTAAACAGCATTGACAAATTGGTCTTTATAATTGAGAAGAGTTGAATTTCTTTGACGTACGGACTGAAATTTTGTGCGTTATGAGTTTCGACTTCAAAGGGATAAGAAAGATTTGAAAAAAATCTATCGTTAAAATTTAAATAGAATTTAAATCGAGATTCATGTATGAAATATCGATCCTTATCTACATGATCGGAATATAATATGTTGCGTTAAAAACCAAATTTCCTGTTCTAGAAGGATGGAACTATTCGCTCGTGACTTTCAAAAGAAAATTTAATGTCGCGTATGTAGGAACTCCCCCTTCCGCTCAAGGAATGTCTTATGTTTGTTGAACTTGGTAATTGCCTGAATTTTGTTAAGAATGTTACCAGTGCCTGATGCAGGCACAGTTATTCTTTAAGAGTGCCAACAGAATATACTTATGACAGACTGAAATATATTATTATGTATACTGTATTCTTTCCTTTTTTTACTATGAACTGTCGCTAAATTTGGTGGTTTTTAAAGCATGATGCCTATACGGGCAGAGTTTGCTGAGATAATTTAAATTTTATCATCTTCATGACAATGTTACAAGTTAAAACTGTCATCGAAATATAATATCCTTAACTGCTATTACTATGCACGTATTTAACAGCCAGCTGGATTATCTTACTGGTTTCAGATTAAGTACTTAGATCGTAGTAGCCTATGTAAGATATGCCTTGTAATGACACTAGGAATTACTTCCTCATTTATTTTCGCAGTTTATGTACTTTTCCATTACTCTACCATCACTTAAAGGACGTCATCAATACTGTAAATGTACGTTTATAGGTACTAAATTGACTTATTAATGTAATGTTTTTAACAGACACAGGAAGACCGCTTTCAGACACTTCAGGAGCTAGCGATGCGTTACTTATTTGTTCCGGATTAGCAACGATGCCATTTTCAAGTAAAATGTGCCCGACTAAATCGTAGTTTGTTACGACAAAACTATAGCTGTTAAATTCATTAAATTCTGAGGGTCCGCCCATTTGACTTTAAATTTTGTTACGAAGATGGCTGTCTTCTGGGTTGTAGAAGCGTGTAGCCTGATAGAAGTTAACCAGCGTTTCAGAGGTCCTTGCTGCCGCTATCATGGTGACACCAAGGATCTCTGAAACTTTGGCAGACTATTACCAGACTTCTCTGCGTTACAATCCAGAAGATAGCCACCTTTGTACTCGCCGCCGTGAGAATCTTAAATCCTACATGAATTTTGTTGACGCAGGTGAAAATATACAGGCTTTTTATCGTCGCCGAAAAAGCTTCAATTCAGGCTGTGGTGTCCTTGAGGATTCTTTATCCGTGCTGCGTATTTGTTGGTCAGAGGCTGCATGCCTGTATTAGGCTTATAAACGGTGTAGAATGAAACTTTAGCGGATCCAACAATCTGGTCTGAACAATGTAAGCGGTAAATTTCCCAAACGATACACCCGATTAACCAAGACCTCTTACTAAGGCCCACTGATCAGTTGTAACCCACGTGTTTGTCCATTAGCAGGGACATTTTATGATTTGCCTTGTATTAAGCCTGTGAACATAACATTCATTATGAGTATATTATAATTTTATGACAATAGCTATAGTAGATCAGGGGCCATCAACCTCTTAACACCTGGGACCACAGTCATCCTTTCTTATGGACCTGCGGGTCATAAGGTTACAATCGACGACGTTGCATTGAACTTCATGACAGTTCTACAATTGTTTCGGGCGAACAGTTGCGTCAGTGTCGAGTCAAGGACCATTGTTTCGGAGACTAGCTCTGCCTCCATAATCTGGGTGGAGAGTTAGTCTCGGAAACGTTTGTTTTCTACTCAAAATTGACACGGTTGGTCGCCGAAACGATTTTAAGGTTTATACGCCGTGGAAATTTCAAATCTTACAAATTCATGACACTTAACTCAAAATGCTGCTAGCAAGTTTACATACTAGCCTACTGATTAATTTTATTAAACCAATTTGATATATTTCATCAGCTACTTTCTTAAAATTAACCACTGCGGAAGATCTAATTTAGGCTACGAATATTTTCCCGTCATACGGAGTGGTAACTTTTCCCAAAGTTTACGAGAAGCGGGTTTGTAAATATTACTATTAATTTAACTTATTAGAGAGAATATTAATAGGCCAGTGTTAAGGAATAGTGCTGAAATTATCTTACAAGTTGTTAAATAATTTTGTTTAGAAGTAAATACGTGAACTTGACACGAAGTAATTAGGTGATTAGCAACAAGGTTTAGAGATGAAGTTCAGGCCTTATACACCTGTAATAAATTATTTGAAAATTATATGAAATTTAAATATACCGAAACAACACCAACAAACAGGAAGGAGATTCATCTTGAAATTACCGACTATATTGACAAACTGTGTAAATTATTCTTGTTATTCACTTCATAAGTTATTATGTAAGGTATGAATTATCACTCCGTCAATTTTCCAAAAAGGTATTTTGCTTCTTTGTTTCTATTTGTGTGACACCTATTTCTTTCATTTGAGGGAAGAGTGTAAACTATAAGTGCCTGAAGGCAAGGCGACTACGAAAAACGTCATGGCCGATTTAGGATAGACCGTACCTCAAATGAAACATAAAATTATTAGCGCGGTTCCAAGAAATAATCGCTGTTTGCACTGAGAATCGTACAAGACCGATAAATACAAAATGTACTGTTGCTGAGTTTTAAAGAATGTGGTATACATAGCTACAACTGGGCTTTAAAGGATCAAAGCTGAGTTTCTATTGTAAATAAGACGTGCAATGTCGGTATCTTAATTGGATATGTTTTGCGTCGTTATAGGTGATAATACTCGAATTACATTCGTAAGTTTTAAGTCGTTGAATTATTTTATTGGATGTTGGATGAGGGTTCATAACCGAACAAGTCTCATAGTTTATGTTTAATAGGATTTTGTTGAAAGTGGTCATAAATATAATACTTAG